TAATACCTCTGATATTCTGATCATTATTGTTAATACATCTGATATTCTGATCATTATTGTTAATACATCTGAGATTCTGATCTTTATTGTTAATATATCTGATATTCTGATCATTAGTGTTAGTATATCTGATATTCTGATCATTAGTGTTAATACCTCTGAGATTCTGATCATTATTGTTATTATTGTTGTTGTGTTTGTGCCAAATTATAAACTGAAATTAAGTGCTTTTTTTGACAAGTTTAATAAATTATTAAAACTTCTGAATTGCAACTAATCTTCACGATAGTTTCACGATAGATGATGTTTAGCTCTCGTACTGTTTCTTTTAACTCCTAATACCAGGTTTATCTTTAGATCCATAAACAACAAAAGTTTTAATATTTCGTTAATAATCTGAGACTTGGCAAACTTTGGGAATTATGAGAGGGAATATCCTTTCAACTTGGTTGTACAAAACTATGAAATCAAGCGTGGTTAGTATCACACTTTTCAAGGCTAAGACATATATTATACAGTGTGTCCCACGTACGTGGCCATGGCATTACTTCAAAGGAAGGCAGATATCTTGTCATGACATAGCTCTAGACAAAAACATATTTATATGGCTACGCTATTGTTCTAGAGCGAGACATATATATGGCCAAGACATTTCTATAGAGAGACATATATTCATGGTCATGGCAGTAAAACAGTTGAAACCACAACATTTCGTGTATGTCCTTGTTTTCAAATGAATTATGGATCTACAAATATTATGTAAGTTCACTTATGTATTTCAGCATCACCTTTTTTATTGTATAAAGTTCCTTTCTGGTACGGCAGATGGCGGTATGTAGGAAATAAAATCATATTTCTTGATTCATGGCCTTCTTTCGTATAAGTTACTACATTTTATATCAAGTGACGTTTCAGACGATCTGCCTTAGTTAGGCTTAACTTCAGAGAAATAAATACTGTTTAAAACACGTTAACATGGTAAGTTTTTGATAGCCCTTTTTCAAAATTATATCCTTCAATTCCAAAAAACCTGTTCACGTACATTCTTACAGACACATTGTACAATAACCAAATTTGATTTCTTAAAACAGTATTTACCTTTTGGTTTTCGTATGAATTTCATTACTCCACCCCCATAACAACAATAATAGTTGTATATTTGTTTGTTTTATTGTATCCGTTGCTCTTAATGTATCGTGTATGCGACACGTTTGTATTTGGTTCGTTTTTTAGACTGTAACCCCAAAATACCTTAGTTAATTAACATAACAAGAGGACGTGTGCTGTAAAAACATCACGCAAACTTGGCCACAGATTCTGGGAACACCTTAGATAAATAAGAAGAACGGAAACACTGACAATCCAGTATCTAAACGCTTCAGTTCTAACAATCATTCACTTTGTGACATAAGCGACCTCGTTTTGAAAGGTGCTCTTAAAAGTAACGTTTCCAGAGAAAAAAAAAGAAAACGTAAAAATAGGATTTAAATTTGGAACTATGTACATTATCAAGGCTTAAATATGAATTTATTTTATTCGATCTATTATATATATATGTTTTTTATCTAATATATGTGTGTCTGTGTATACTATGTATGTTTGTATCTAATATATGTGTGTGTGTGTGTATACTATGTGTGTTTGTATTTATTTTATCTTTTATAGCTACTATTCAGTACATGTTTTTCATACTTTTTGTCAATAATTTTATATTACTTACACTTTTTTTTAAATACATAACCCTTTCCTCAGCTGAGGCCATTGTTTAGTATTCAAATAACTTTTCTGATTCATAATAAAAATTTTCTACACCTTGTTTATTTTATTTAATCGGTTATATTATTTATTATGAATTCAGTTCATTCATTCTGTGCCCCTCCAATGCACGTGTATTTTTGTAAAATACTTTCTTTTCCGTTTTAGAAGCTACTGGAACTTTCTCTGAAGCGAAGCCCGACGAAAAGGCGTTTGCATGAAACGTATTTAAAATGTAATAATTCGAACGTTGCTTTTACAACCTTTTAACGGAACTGTCGTTCTTTAATTAATTTAACGTCGTGCAAACATTCCACTCAGCGTGTCTTTAGAAATTCTGTTTGTTTAATCCTATTATTATTGACCAAGTTTCCAGCACGAACTGTTAACACTTAAGAAGGTTCACTGAATTATTACCAGCAATTATAGGCTTAGGTAGGTAAGGTCTGTTAAGAGATCCTTATATAAATCTTGCTTTAGAATTAGAGTACATGAGATGTGTTTTAGTAAAAACCATGCTTTAAAAGCGGGTGTGAAATTCACGTGCAAGGTATTTCTCGCGAAAAGTGTAGCACGTATTTCATACTTGTCTAATGATAATATTTCTTTTTTCAACATCTACATGCTATTTTATTTTCAAATAATAGCTTTCAACAAGAAAACAACCAGACAAATAATTGAATTTAAGCTATAGCCAGTGGATTTATTGTTGTTGTTCACTTAAACCGCAAAGTGGCGTTTTCATCTTGAAATGTGTATAGAAGGTGGATTGGTTATGTAACAACTGAAACGGTACAGACCTCATATTTTAACTGTTCACTGCAGTTCCAACTAATATATTAACCACCAGTGTTCACTGCAGTTCCAACTAATATATTAACCACCAGTGTTCACTGCAGTTTCAACTAATATATTAACCACCAGAGTTCACTGCAGTTCCAACTAATATATTAACCACCAGAGTTCACTGCAGTTTCAACTAATATATTAACCACCAGAGTTCACTGCAGTTCCAACTAATATATTAACCACCAGTGTTCACTGCAGTTCCAACTAATATATTAACCACCAGTGTTCACTGCAGTTCCAACTAATATATTAACCACCAGTGTTCACTGCAATTCCAACTAATATATTAACCACCAGTGTTCACTGCAGTTCCAACTAATATATTAACTACCAGTGTTCACTGCAGTTCCAACTAATATATTAACCACCAGTGTTCACTGCAGTTCCAACATTCCGCCTAGCCGTTGGACACAAGTCCAACAGCCAAGTGTGACAGTGTTCGCCTCAAACCACTAGGTTTCTTGAGTTGTAGACAAATATGATGTATTTTATTTGTTATATTTCAGAAAGATGAAGTAGCAATATTACAACATATTGATGCTTTCCTCTAAATACATAAAACTTGCGATAATTAATTAGTTCATATGTACTTGTAATAATATAACCATGTCTCCCAGTTAAGTCTTTACAGCCTATAAAAAATATACTTCATTTTTTTAACTCAAAACTGGTCATAAAACCTTATAAAAAAAACCCATAAAGTTGCAGTAAACCTATATTTTTAATCAAAATTATTGCCCCAAAACTTTAAATACTATTACCATAACATTACCATAATTATTTAATTCACCTCTGTGGAAATAAAACGATTTGGAAACATTTTTGTATAGAGGAATAATTCAGCATTAACAGATCTTACTTTTTAAAAATCTCTGTCATCATAGACAAAGTAATGGGTTTCCTCGTGGAAAGTTTACCAATCGGTATGAAAATTCACGTTTATTGTTAATGTGACTTATCTACACTGCAGTTTGTGAAACCATATGTTGCCCTATATTTTTAGAAAAAGGAAGCTTTTAAAAACCTTTATTTTTTGCAGTTTTGAGGCCTATATAACCCAAGATGCAACGTGATAAACAATGTACACACAGAAAATAAATAGATTTAACTCCATAAATCACGTCAACATCGGTTGACAACGGAATCGGTTCTAATTTAATGTCATCTGTATTTATTCGCAGGGAATTTTGATCATGTATGACGTAACAAACATGGACTCCTTCAATCATCTTTCTTATTGGTTCCGGAACGTAGAGGAGGTAAGACAAATACAATACGTTGTAATGTTATTTAAAAATAAACTTCATATACTTCATTAATAACTGGTTCATTTTGGGCTTGTTTACAATAACAATGTGGGGGTTTGAATTCATTAGGGCTTAATATTACGTCACAGAAACTTAAAGAAATTGTTAATATATCTAGATGAAGTGAGTTTGGTCATCGACTGTGTTTTCCTTAAAACAAAGCTACATTGGGCTATATAGTGTGTCCACCGAGGGGAATCGAGCCCAAGAATTTAGCGTTGTTAAGCCATATACTTACCGTTGTCCCACCGGGGGACATTTCCCCATCTGGAATGGATGTTGTATATTCTAAGCCCATAAAAATATAACAAAAATATTAGAATATCAAGTAATAATACAATTCAATGTATACATTTTTACATTTCGCTTAACAGTTGCTTTTTTGCTGAAAGAGATGGTTTCACTAACTTATTGTTAAAGTTTTCTATTGTAAATACAAGTCATACAACATGCATGTTTGATTCAAATGCTGTTGAAATATTAAGTTTTTTTGTTTGTTTGAATTTATGCACAAAGCTACACAATGGGCTATCTGTGATCTGCCCACCACGGGTATCGAAATCCGGTTTCTAGCGTTGTAAGTCTGCAGACATACCGCTGTGCCACTGGGGGGCGAAATATTAAGTTTTTTGTTTGTTTGAATTTATGCACAAAGCTACACAATGGGCTATCTGTGATCTGCCCACCACGGGTATCGAAACCCGGTTTCTAGCGTTGTAAGTCCGCAGACATACCGCTGTGCCACTGGGGGGGGGAATATTAAGTAAAAATATTTTCACGCTACAAAAAATATGTAAAAACATAATATAAGTATTTTTTTAAAACCTAATTAATCAGATTACATTATATTGGTATTTATGCTTTTTTATCTACTTCTAGAATGCTGCACCAGATGTCGTGAAAATTCTAGTTGGAAATAAATGTGACGCATCACATCTTCGACAGGTGGAGAAAGAAAGAGGGACAAAGGTATGCATATTTATTACGCTATACTAAAGTAATCACCTTCTTACTTGTATCGCTTTTATCAAAATACTTAGACCTTGGAGAAATATTTGAATGACTTTATAAAAAAAAAACTACATTTAGTTCTCAGAGGATCAAAAATCTAAAATATATATTAGTGTAAAGAATAAAATAACGTATTTTTTATGGTTTAAAACAACAGTGTTTCAAAAATGTATATAGACAAGCTGAATGCCCGTCATATGCAAGGGAAATGATGATTAGTTTTTCTTCTCAAGATTATATCTAAATAAGTATCTTATGAACATGCTTTCTAAAAACTAATTATATCTAATAATAATACATGCAAGGATAACGAGGATCTTATTTATAATATTTCACGAAGACAACATTTTTGATCATCTCTTTTAAGTATTGGTTGATTAGTATTTTGACTTCTGCATGTTTTTAAGTTATGTTCTTCTTGAAAAATCCTTATAGACTGAAACATGCGAAAAAACTTATTCTCAAAGACATATTCCTACTTGGCCATCTGTATGACCTTGCAAGTTATTAATTGTGATGGTTAAAGAAGTTAATTTTATTATATATTTTAGGACCTTCTCTTTGGACTGGCTTCCTCGTTTTGGCTTTGTTATCCTGCTGAGCTGAAGAAGCGCGCTTTAATTTGGGCATTTTCAAAGTTGAAAGGTGCTGCGGGTAAAACATACCAGGCGTGGGGTGAACGTATACCCTATTCGATTTTATTACTAATTACAATCCCTACCAACCTACCCTTAAATATAATTATATGCCCAAAGTAGCACACCGTCCGTTTTATATATATGGCTGGAAATTTTTTTAAAGACAAACCTGTTTGTCGCGGCAGAAAAAAACCGTTATTTCATACAAGTTGTGTGTTGATCGGACCCACAACGGCCAAGATATCGGCGTCACAGACGGTCGGCTTTTCGTCTTTATATAGTAGATTACTTTACTTTTTTTTCCTATATATTTTTCTTGCCAAACTAACTGAATCATTTATCAAAAAGTTGAAATGTCAATATTGATTATCTCAAAGAAGAAGTAAGTACAGTCAGTCGGAAAGACGACAAAGGTACAGAAATTGAAGAATAGGTCACAAAGTCGTCAAGATTCGAATATTTTCGAAGTGGGAGATTGAAATTTTAACTGAAAATCGTAGGGAATCGGACCTTTAACGAAGACATTTGCTGATCAACACAATATGAGAGTTGTACTTAGTTTTTTAAAGAGTAGAAGAAAAGATTTTTAGGCCTACCTTCGAAACTATCGGCAACTTTGTGAACTATTTTTTAAATGATAATCTCGAAACCAAACAGTTAGGTCAATATTATCAATTAATGGCCGAGATAATTAAACACTAAGCGCAAACACGATTTTTTTGGTTATTTTTTCTTAAAATTTGGCTAGGTTCTCATTTAGGAAGAATGGAAATCGGTTGAGATTATGGAAAAAAAAAAGCTTGCTGTTGTAAAACCAACGGAGGTCTGTAAATTGTTCAGCGTGTGTCTTCACGTTATGTCAGATAAGTAATTAGTAAAAACTAAACGCCTGTTGAATACCAGTATGGTCAGGAGAAGATATTTACTTGGTAATAGCTAATGTATATTGTTTGCTAAACTAGATATATATATATACTTCAATATGTGATGTTTTGTTATTTCAAAGTATTGGTACTGCATCAAATGAAAACGATATATATATATATATTACATTAAACTTGCAAATTACAAGTGATTAAGGTCGTGATATCGCGTTGACTTGTTCTTTTCATAAATCTCAACGATACGTACATATGTGTGTGTGTGTGTCTCTATCCCCTCTCTCTCTATATATATATGTGTATATATATATGATTACAGAATATGAGGTACCCGTGTTTCAGCAATATGTCTACACAGACTCAATATTACGAGGTTATTTTGTAGTATATCCATTTTTAAGTTTGCTTCATTTGCATTTACTCTTATCTAATGGTTATTTTTCTCTGATTTAAATATTAATTTCAGACATGTCCTCGCGTAATTTCAAATGTCTACATAATTTGTGTTGTCCCAGTAAATCCAGATGTCCGTTTTTAATATCATTATATTTGAAATACATTATTTCATTATGTACAATACTTACCTCAAATAATTCGATGACGAGGAACCCACTTTGAGACTAATAATGGCTGGAGACGGCTTAAATGGGTAATGAAGAAAAACTTTAATATAAGTTTAACATTAGTTAAACATTAATATAACTTTAACATTATACATTCCATGTATAACCTTTTAAGTA